AGGGTGTGGTTGGGTGTGGCTGACGGCCGAGGCAGAAAAGTTGTGATTACCATCGCTGGTGAAGAACGTTTTCCAGAGCCTTTTATGTCCTGCAGATCTGTATCGTGGGAGTTGCGCTGGTTATTGTCTCCCCGTGAAGCTATCGTCTCTTGTTGTGGCTATCGTCTCTCCTGTCCCCTCATTATGTGTAATCTTCCTCTTACCATCAATAATGAGCTCTCTCTCCTCACTCTTCTGTAATTTTGTTCATATTAGGAGATATCTTGGGTATTGCCCGCCATCTAGTTGAGCGTTTGGAAGCTTTGAGTGTCTCAGTCAGATACGATGACCAGTGATTAGAGAACAAATTTCTTCCCACGTTCTAAGACCGTGATGAAAATGGTAACTAAGGAAGATAGAGTTCCTGAAAGCTGCAAGCCACTACGAAAGATTTGTACATGTCAGGCCTCGAGCGGCAGATGGCTACGCTTCCAGCTTCTTCCCTTCTTGAAGAGACAGAAGGCTAGTAACCATGATAATCCAAGGTCAAGCAGTGAGGCTCATTACTGTTCGGGTGTATTGTGGGTAGCTTTCTAAGGAGCGACCCACAAACAACTAGCTCTTAGGTACCTATTTGCTGCTAAGAAAATTGGGGTAGCGGGTGTAAAAAGACTTGCCCATATATCTCGCCCAGACGTCGAACCTGACTCCTGTCGGTGTGAGTAAACGAGCTAATGCAACACCTGTTACTACAATAGGAATTTCAACCAGAACTGCATTTATTTAACTAAAGAAAACAGTTAACTTATTTACAACACTGTATCAAGACGCAATACTGGAAAGAGCATCCTGTGTTCCCGGAGATAAAACTGGAAGAGTAAGTCATCCAATGTGAGGCAGAACTAAGTGAATACGCGAGGGAAAACTCTCATTAGAAGAGTAGTCACTTTCTATCTCTGTTTTTTATAGAAAAGCACTCTTCCTACCTGTTCTTTATAGGAATGCAGTCACTATTCCATCCTCTGTGTTTTCTTATAGGAAAGTAGTGACTTTTCTGCTATTGTTCTTCCTTGAAGGGAAGCTACTCTCCCAGTTTTGCCATTCATCCAGCCACTATCCTCCCTGAGAGTGTAATCATTCTTTTAACTTCTGTCTCATGCTGGAAGGCGCAGATATACTTCCAGAAAGTTAATCACTGTCCAAGCCACTTTTCTCTCTGGAGGAGTAGCCACTCTCCCGATCCCTGTCTTCCTTGGAAGAGAGAGAGAGAGAGGAGAGAGAGAGAGAGAGAGAGAGAGAGAGAAACGTTCCAGCGCTTCTAGCTTCCATTTCCATGAATTTCCATACCTACTGTTCCCTCACGAGGCCCCCATAAACAAATTTCTTACACATGATCTCCGCTGGCTTATATCAGTCCGAGTATAGGCGGCGGCTACAATTACAGGCTGACCAGCAGTGCTGGATATGGAAGACAGCTGAGGCTGGCTGCCTCCACACGTCAAGGTTAGACTAGTTTAACTTCATACTAATTTTAAATGAGGCCTTCTAGCTTCCAATTAAGACACGGGCGGCGCTACACAATTCACTTTGACTGGTACATAAAGATCTTCAGAGTGCAAGACTAAATGGGAATCACTAAACAGGTAACTGATAAAGCCAGATCTGGAAGGTTACGTCACACTACATGGAAGTTCCTGGACAAATTATAACAATGAACATTTCGAATGGAACCAAACTAACCTTCTTTCTCGCACAATTTTCTGATATTCACTTCTTTCCCTAAAACATGACCAATCACGTCAAATTTTCCAACCCATTAAATCAAATATTATAGGAGCAATTGGCCTCATATGAGGGGATGTTTCCAAAATTAAGATACCCAAATGTTGCACAAGTGTCTAATTCAGTAACAATTATACTTTCTAAATATTAATCAGTGTGCCCAAAGTATATATTCTCGTACATTTTCACCAGATAGAAATGAGATCAAATAAAAACGCTCGCAAGTGGATAAATGGGCCACTAAAACCTCTCTTAGAAGGAAATAGAAGAATTTACCGGTGCATCAAAAAATAATATGGTCACTTTCTGAACAAATGGAAGATTAACCTTACCTATAAAATTAATGAGGTTAATGAATCCACAACACATCAAAATACATACTAGTACTTTTCCTTTTCTCTTACCTTCTCTCTTAACAATTTCCTTCTTGGCCAGTTTTGCATTTTAACGCAGTTCCTCCTTCCCCTTATTGCTATCTCACCCTCTTCTTCTTCCTCTCCTATTTCCTTCTTCCCTTCCCTCCCATTCCCTCCTGCCCTCTCTTCCTCTCTTCTTACCCTCCCTCGCTCAGCACGAGTGAGGTAGGAGTGGCATTAATTACCCCTGGGTCAGCTATAGCCAGCCTTTATCACAGTTCTGACAGATATATCACCGCTCTGCTCGGTTTGTGTTGGAAAACTCATTACTAAAAGTCCTTACTTCTTGATGCCTTCATGTTAGGTGGGAATGCCACAGTCCATACCTCCTGATGCCTCCACGTTTAGGTAGAACGCCAGAGTCCCTACCTCCTGATGTCGCCATGTTAGGTGGGAACGCCAGAGTCCCTACCTCCTGATGTCTCCATGTTAGGTAGGAGCGCCACAGTCCCTATCTCCTGATGTCTCCTTGTTAGGTGGGAACGTCACAGTCCATGTGTCCTGAGTGACGAAGCCAGGCGGGGGCTAAGGGGGCTAAAGCCTCTTAGAGATACTTTTATTTTTCAGTTAATGGCTAATTTTCACTATTATATTGACCACAAAATCACGATAGTTTAAGAAGCGTCTCACCTTCATGATGTAAATGTTTTGGAAAATCGACAAGCTAGAAAACGAGACACTTGTGTAATATTTGGGAATATTTATTATGGGAACGTTTCGCTAGTCAGTGGCTTCTTCAGTCCAATACAGAGAAGAACGGTAGAAGATAAAGAAGTTTAACGTAATCAGTCCCTCAGCCTGGAGTCCATCAGTCTTAAAATTGGTAGATTGAACACATCGCACAGTGGAAGACGAGGACTTTGTGATAGTTAGTCCCTCAGCCTAGAGGCTGAGGGACTATCACAAACTCATCTTCCACCGCTCTTCTCTGTACTGGACTGAGGAAGCCACTGGCTGGCGAAACGTTTCCAAAATAAAAATAAGTGGGAGTCTTGTGTCATTGACTTAGAGATGTGACAACTATTACTGATTTCACCTGTTGCAGATGGCTAAACCTTCTTATAATTGTTTATTTACATAATTCTCTCTAATAGCCTACATGTCAAGGTATCTTATTAATGAAAATAAGATACTGGACTGTGGGTCGTGCGTTGGACTACGTGCAACCAGCAGTAACAGCCTAGTTGATCAGGCCCTGATTCACCAGTAGGCCTGGTCATGGACCTGGCCGAGGGGGCGTTGATCCCCGGAATACCCTCCAGGTAGACATATTAAGCAAATAAATAACAAAAAGGCACAATACTACTACTACTACCTCCACCTCTTCCTGCCTGTATATAGCCGTCCTGCTCCACCTCTGTTAGTGTGACTTTGTCAATGGTCCAAGTCGGACCGAAACGTCGTCGTCGTAAGCTTCTCTCTTTTATGTGCGGGTTATTTGTGTATATTAAGCAAATATCCTAAATTTGTTTGAAACAGGTAAAGGCAACTGAATATATAACTTCATATGCGCTCATGTAAACCCCTTTTTGGGCCCTAATTACTAAGCTTTTGTGTATCCATATGCTTTACTAACCATAGGATAAAAAAAAGTGCACAATGAACTAGCCACTTCGGTGGTAAAATCTACAAAATAAAAAAAAAAATGTTATAACTTACATCTATAGAATTTTCAGAAATATCGCAGAGAATGATAATATATTTAGGGGTAAGACATGCATTTAACGCATTAATTAGCATTCATGATACAGGAGGCACGGAAGGTAAGGTAAACATTTACATGAAGGGTCCCTGTGGTGGCCGTATGGCTGGCCTGGCAGTGTGTGCCTCATCACTCTTCAGTGGCTGCTGGTTGGCTCCCTCATTGTCCTCATTCACCCCCTTCTCTTTCCCCTTTTCCTCCTCCTCATCTTCCAACTCCTCGTCCTCTTTGTCGTCCTCCTAAATTTTCAGTCATCAGTGTTCGTCCTGATACGAACTAAATACACAAGCCTACTCTGAGAGCACTAATATTATAGCTGTATATGAACCAGGAGGTGCAATAGACGACAATATACTAACAAAATTATCTATACCTGGATTAATTTTCTATATAAATAGTAAACTAGTAATGTATCGGACATCCGCATCCGCAGCTGCATCCGTATTTTACTGTAAACAGATATCCACATCCGCAGAACATCCGCATAATTTCTTACATCCGCATCCGCGAAATAAATAAGACATCCTCATACACATCCTCATTTAGATATCCGCGGATATCTAAATTTTCACATCTATACATATCTATAAGTAAACATGGAAAAGGAGCTAAAGCTATGTTATATATCGAAGATCGCTGACTAAAACTCAATAAGTGTGAATACCTGTGATCGATCGTATGAAATTATGATAATAATAAAAAACTAAGTTTTGCATGGATTGTACAAGAAAAAAGAAAAATTATTCTTACAAAATCAATTATAAATACTACTAATATTATAAATCCTAGTGAATGATGGTACCATTGGGAGGCGAAAATATTTTGCACTTTGGTTTATTCAAGTACTGAAAAACTCTTTCATTCTTTAGACAAGATATGAAAGAAATGTGACCGGTAAGCCAGCGGAAGGCCTCGGTCAGATGACCAAAAGCTCCAACGGCGGGTCATCATCTGACTAAGACCCGAGTCAGGGGGGTCTTAGATGTACTTACCATATTAGTGATGGAAAACAGGTGGTGAAACAAAAGTTAATGTTGATAAGGGGGAAATAGGTGTAATACACAGGTGAAATCACATATTAGTAAAAAAAAAAAACAGGTGTAAAACACAAATGTACTCACCATACTGACAGCGGGAGCCAAAGAACCCGACAGGACAGATGCAACGGTTGTACACACAGCGACCACCATTGTGACAGTAGATGCGGCCACACACAGCTGTAATCAAACAGGTGAGCAATACCGCCCACAGCAGCAACGCCCGCTCCACGCCCATCTTGACCATGCCCGCACTCACACGCACCAGCACTACACGTGTCCTCACACACCTGCACTACACGTGTCCTCACACACCTGCACTACACGTGTCCTCACACACCTGCACTACACGTGTCCTCACTACACTGGTGGGCAGCAGAGTCTCATTTTTAGCTCTGTGTTTACATACTTTTTTCTTCCATTTGGAGGAATCTCTAGCATCAAAATACGCAAATGAATTTATGTAAGGAAATGATTATATTGTTACGTTATTTTTATTTACTTACAAGAACAAAATCATATAAATTGCATGGCTGAAAACACTGAGATAACTACACGCGTCACCATCACAAGACTCAGTGGAACTGCCACAACAAAAGTGATAATACGAAAGCGAGCAAGACTATTTTAGACGATGTTTCGCTCACGATTTGATAAAAGTCCTGGGCGAAACGTCATCTAAAATCAAGACTTGCTGCTTATTATATGTGTTTGTACTCTCCACATCACACAATGAAATTTAAGACATGAAACACTCACTACAAACCCTCACTTCAGTTTGGTCCATTTATAATGTTAAATTTCAACTAATCGTTTGTCGATCGATTGACATTTAAAATGAAAATATTATTATACATTAATAAAAAATAGTATTTTTTTGATATTGAAGGAACCCCTGAACCAGAGGTCAGATATTACCAACGATCAAATATTTAGCATCATCGATACATTGTTAATAATTTTGAATATCATATCCATAGCATACGAACATTACTTTAAAACATATCCATAAATAACTTTTATATACCATAAATGTAACCTTTAAATTTTGTGTATCATATTTCGTAATAATATATACCAGTTTGTGCATTTATGAAGGATGGATTGGTTTTGAAGGTGGAATGTTCAGACGGCCTCAGGGAGACACCTAAACATTTATGAAGGATGGATTGGGAAATGTGGAATATTCAGTCTCAGGGAGAGACACAAACATTTTACCTCGAATCTTTTCATCTTTTTATTACATTAGCTAGATTAAATACACATTTCTCGACCCCTAAGACTTCCCTAGCTGTTGATCTGAATCTAAACCTTAGTTCCGATGGCATCTTTTTCTAGACATCTGGTTAACTTTTTTCATAGTCACGATTACATTTAGATCTACGTACGTTGATATGAAGTATGAAGGACTGTGTACATTACGTTGACCTTCATTCAGATCTACAAATGTTAGATTTAGTTGATCTTAAGTATATAGTGCTACGTACACTTAAACTCCGTAAGGGTGTTTATATTGCACTGAACCTATAACCGGAGGATCAACTGTACGTCTTCAACAGTTTATGCAACTCTATCGAGTCTCAGAATAGCCTTCATGAGCCTTAGCTAAAAAAAAAAACTGGACTGAACGTGTTAATCACTAGCAACCTGACTGGCTGGTAGTAGAGCACGATTAGAAAACTAAAGATTAGATTTTCTCTGCTCGTAGTGCTGAATGATCCATGCGGACTAATTGCTTCGTAACTTATACTGCAAATAATGTACTTCAGGAAAATCGTAGAATATGTAGTACCAGCGTGGAGCCCCCCACTCGTCATATTCAGGAATTTGTAGAGGTCCAACGCTACGAAATCAGACTAATGCCTGAGCCGAGTTTAAATGTAATTTTGGAAGAGAAGGCTAAGGGAGACATGATTATGACGTACCCATCTCTCTCCCCTCCTTCCCTCCCTCCCTCTCCCTCTCTCTCTGACTGTTTCTGTATGTCTGTCTGTCTCTCTCTCTCTCTCTCTCTCTCTCTCTCTCTCTCTCTCTCTCTCTCTCTCTCTCTCTTTCCTCAGTTCAGGTATGAATGAACTAGTTCAAATGGTGAAATAAAAGGCCTTACAAAATTTTAAGAGTAGGTATGCTGGGGCTCAAGAGGCCAGAAGCCAATAACGTCAGTCAACTAATTTTAGGAGGCGAGATCAGGAGCCAAGACTCGACCCCCGCAAACGCAAATCTATGCATACACTTCATCTGTGTCAGCTTGCAATACCACGAGTGTGCTATTAACGTAGCCAGCTGAGCAGCTGACATCCCTCACCTCCCCTACCACCACAATCACCTCCTCCCCCACCACAATCACCCTCTACAACCACCACCACAATCACCCCCTACAACCACACCACAATCACCCCCCCACCACAATCACCCCCTCCCCACCACAATCACCCCCTCCCACCACAGCCCAACCCTTACAACCCCATCCTCACACAACACCACTCCATCATTCCACTAAAAACAACCACTCCCACCCACCTCTACAATTACAGCTCCTTCCCCACCACTATATTTTTCACCACCACCACTCTCACGCACCCCAACCACCCCCACCAGTCTTTCACCACTACCCCGTCTCCCTGCCCACATCCCCCTAACATTACCCCATCACAAGGACGAGAGTTCTGGCAGACACACCGGTTCTGAGAGCATTTAAATCATGTCGTGGTTTTTGGCATTTCTGGGCAACACCTTTACAAACACGACGCTCAAACTTATTACTGAAATTGAAGCTAAAGGTACAAGTCAAGGCTGTAGTGAAGAAGTTCAAAATAGCGGATGTAAAAACCTAATACACAGATTTAGCAGAACCTTGTGGGATTAAGAGAGTTAAAAAGTATTATATACATTAGTAAGTGCGAAGCTTACACGGACTAGACAGCGTCTGGGAATAAGAGAGGTAATAAGGTTTGATTCGAAGAAATAGAGGGACACTTCAGTTCCTTGGATTAAGGGCCCTTGTAACATTCTCCACCAGTAATGTGTATCATACAAGGTTTTTTCCTATGAGATGAAACTTTAAGCCTGTTTTTTAATATTTATATATATTTATTTAATGTATATACATTAGATAAATACCATGCCCAGGTGGTAGGTGAGGTACCATACTCAGGTATTCGCTGTCACCAACACACCTGCACACAACTTATCACTGCTGGCCACTCACTACAGAACAAAGCCACTTAGCCCCTCCTTCCTGTCATCCTTGATTATCTTGTGACTCTTCTAATTATTACATTCAAGAAGAGTTAATCCCTTTGAGGTGAGAACTGCTTTTAGGGAATGAGTGGTAATCAGGTTAGATCGAAGGAAAGATATTTCTTTGGATCAAGAACCCATTTAAGAACATAAGAACATAAGAAAGAAGGAACACTGCAACAGGCCTACTTACCCATGCGGAGCAGGTCCATGTCCCCCCCCCCGGATTAGACAATGACCCCCCCCCCCGGATTAGCCCAATGACCCACCCAGTCTGGTCATTCCCACTCAAGGATGGAGCACTGCACCAGACCCAGCAGCACAAGCTAGTCAGGTCCAACTCACACCCACCCACACCCACTCATGTATTTATCTAACCTAAAAGTACACAACGTTTTAGCCTGAATAACTGTACTCGGGAGTTTGTTTCACTCATCCACAACTCTATTACCAAACCAGTGCTTTCCTATATCCTTCCTGAATCTGAATTTTTCCAACTTGAAACCATTGCTGCGAGTCCTGTCCTGGCTGGAAATTTTCAGCACGCTATTTACATCCTCTTTATTTATTCCTGTTTTCCATTTATACACCTCGATCATATCTCCCCTAATTCTACGCCTTTCGAGAGAGTGCAGATTCAGGGCCCTCAGTCTGTCCTCATAGGAAAGATTTCTGATACATGGGATCATCTTTGTCATCCTCCTCTGTACGTTTTCCAGAGCATTTATATCCATTCTGTAATACGGTGACCAGAACTGAGCAGCATAGTCTAAATGAGGCCTAACCAAGGATATATAGAGTTGAAGAACAACCTGAGGACTTCTATTATTTATACTTCTAGATATGAAGCCATGAATTCTGTTAGCTTTATTGCGAACACTAATGGACTGTTGTCTTGGTTTTAAATTATTGCTAACCAGAACTCCTAAATCCTTTTCGCAATCGGCAGTATTAAGATCTACATTATTTAGTTTATATGTGGCATGGTTATTTACCTGTCCAACATTTAGAACATTGCATTTGTCAATATTAAACTGCATCTGCCACTACTACGGCCATTGCATCAGTCTATTCAAATCATCCTGGAGTGCTCTAGTGTCCTCATTAGAATGAATTGGACGGCCTATTTTGGTGTCATCAAGGCATTCCCTTGTAAGGAATGATGCACAGGACAAGTCCTGTCGTAACTTCTGGCAAATAGAAATTCTCTGGTTAATAAGGTTTGAAGCCTATAGACTGATCTAGTGTATTTAATGCCCAAATTCACCATACACTATCAAGAATAATCTAATCAATCAATATAGAGATTAAAGTAGTCTGGGAATATATTCGCTCATATTAGACACATCTCGGTGCATACAACAGTGTTAGCAGCGTTACTGGTCACAAGAGCTGCAGGAACCCTGGGTCACTTTACTTTACCATCAATAACAAGCGAGTTAAATTGTCGCTAGTCATGCTAGTACAACTTTCTCTGCTATTATTTACAACACAAAAATGGTTTATATATTTTTTAAGAGGTGTGTAGAAACTTAACCAGCTGTCTTTCACCAAGGTAGGGTGTCCCAAAAGACAGGGAACACAGTCACCATCATTCTTGCCAGAAGTTTGCGGACATCACATAGAATTGCCAGATGGCAAATGACCCTCTGACCTGTAACATCCACCATCCATTTTTCAACGAGCAGGAACTGAACTCATCTCTGATATTTTTTTGATATTTGTAATCACGTGTTTTACTGTGATTTCTTCCATGCTGTTTTATATATCTTCATTTATTTCCTCATCTATAAGCTCTTTACTACAAACACAAAGTGAACTCTAGCGGAGAGGTGTAACATTAAAAGTTAAGGAATTTGATACAAAGCGGAAGTTGTCACAGTTGTTTTTTGCTTATGACACCGTTCATTTGGGAGATTCTGAAGAGAAGCTGCTAAAGC